CCAATCACAACCCTCGCACCCATTCCTTACACGTTACATACAGGGGATACCAAATATACAACTTTTCGCCAACTTGTCACAATTTCGGCGCAAAACGACTCGCAAACCACAGGGACTTGTCTGAAAGCTAAACTCATATAAAATAAATTTGTATACTGCCTTTCAAATATCAAATTTTTACCTATCGGAATTTTCTGACAACACATTGATGTACAATATAGTTAAGTTTCGATCAATACAACAATTACAGATACGTAACTCATACGGGACTCTGCAAAGTAGATTCGACGGCAGAATAATTTCCTATAAAGTTCTAAATCTATTTCACACTAGTGTACCCCTGAATAAGAAAAAAAATGTTCGTAGATCGCCCAGTACAAGCAGTACTACGGCACAACGTTCGGTTGACGTTGTCATACAGAGGCAAATATGGCAAATATTTTGGGGAGATTGGTCTAGATTTTTTTAAAGTTACGAATACGGGCTCCCATCAAGAATTTCAGTATCTATGACATGTAGTGTACTGCATATGGACGAGTTTATAGTCCGTCTGGTGTTACCCAAAGCGGCGCAACATACTTCGAATATTTGAAACAACAGAGACAATGGCTCAACAAAGGTTACTCTGACTACAAAAAAAAACCTTGATTCGCTTCCCGGTAAACATGCAGCACAGTCCCTCTATAGATAGATAGACTGTGCATACAGTTAACAGTAGCGACTTAGAAGAACTCACCTCCGTGTAGTTGTTTACGTGTCGTAGATGGTAAGTCCCCCAAAGCCGTTCACATCGTGTGTCGCGTTGCTAAATGCTGCAAACAGGTTCCTGCAATATAATAAATGTGGGAAGTCCCCGATCACGTGATATTAATTTACATACAGGGGATTCCCTTAAATTTCACCACCGACCGGTGTGTGTGTGTGTGTGTGTGTGTGTGTGTGTGTGTGTGTGTGTGTGTGTGTGTGTGTGCGCGCGCAGCGTAACCGTAATATGCAATATGCAGCAGTTGACATCTGAAAGCTTTTAACAGGGAGGCATCCGGGAGGTGTATACGCTGAACTCAACTAAAAGAAGTATGGTTTACTGACCTAATAAGACTTTAATATAACATTATACTCTAGACTTCATTTTGAAATAAAAGCAGGTTAATTTATTCAAGAGATGATGAAATTGACATTCAGTTCTCTACCAATTCTGTTGTTTTAGATGTCAAAATAATGATCTGGTTCCCTGTCCCAATTCCAAAGCTGTGGGCGGTTAAAAATATCTTAATCGCCCTCAGCGTTCAAATTGGGACGAGGATGCAGACGTGATTTCAAACGATAATTATTCGATAAATCCACAAGTCACGTGATGCACATGCCTAATAATGTCAGCTAGAGTGACCAAGACATAAATGCAATTATACACATTGCATTTTGTGACATACGTCATTTTATTTCCAGAAAAAAAATCTGTTTTGGCATTCATGTCAGACCATGCCTTCACGATGACAGATGCACATTAGAATTGCAGATAAAATTCCTCTCTAGAATTAAATAATATTCTTTCTAATAAACAAATTTGTTTCCAATAAACAATTCAGACGTGAGTGTCACACAAAAGACGATTTCTTTATCTTAAAAAACATTGGTTAGTAGATAACTCTACAAAGACATTGATAATCAAGAAACAAAAATAAATATATTAAAACTAAAACTACTAACTATGAATGTTTTATTGACTTTTGAAAAGCATTTGATAGCGTTTGGCACGACGGTTTACATCTTAATTGAGCGGTTTTAATGGAACATGTATATTAAAAACACGCATAATTAAATTAATTATTAAATTTAAATATAAATAGGGTTTAACAGGGCGATTCAATTCTAATGTTGGAATTAAACGGGACTGTAATCTGAGTCTGACTGTTTCTAACCTTTTTTCTAAGCGACTTACCTAGCAGCTTTAGCTCCAGTAATTGTGATTAGTTGTTTCATAGACCCCGAGGTCTATGGTTGTTTACTTTACTCCAGTGGAGGGACTGTGGCTGACGACGTCACTTCGACGATACTTCCCAGAACAAAGTGAGGTCTACAGAAATGTATTAACAACTTGTCATTGTTATTAAAAAGCGAAGACTTACTGTCAATACCAGAAAAAAACGGTAATTGTTTTCAATAAATCAAATAGTGCTTATTAACAATAAACCATTTTTTGAGGGTATTGAAATTAAAACAATTAAAGCCCACAATTATCTTGGTTTAACTATGAGCACAAATGGTTTTTAATAGGCTCAAAAAACACTTTTCTCCCTTAAAGAAAAACTTGGTATAATTCCTAACACCAGTACCACTTTATCTTAGTCGCTTTTTGATAAGTTGCTTATACCTATTCTTACATCATATTTGGAATGTCTGCCTGGAGTGACGAGTGTTCGGCCAACTCACAAGTTGTAGAAGCAAATATGATGTTGTAATGTTCTATGAGTAAACATTTAAAGCAGTTGTTTTTATTAAATTATATCCTTCTTAAATACAATTGAACAACAAACTCAAAAAATATTTCATATTATTGAAAAAACACCAAAAAAACAAACAAACAAGAGACTATTTGTAGGTAAAGTTTTTCTCGGGATACATGAGCAAATTTCAGAAATCAGAGTTGTCGTGAGTAAGATGCCGCGGTGTCATGATTGACGACTACTTGTGAGTCACTGCAGAAAAATAGAATGTGTATTTGTAAAATAAGCCTGTGCTGCATTATTTTTTATTATGTTTTCAGGCAGAGAGAAAAAAAAAAAGCGGGTTTATATTTTTTTCGCGGCTCGCTCTAGAACATTGTATAGTGTCGTAAGTTGTGCCCAGCATAATTTGAGCATGCGTAAAAGCTTATAGATGGAAACCCCCCCGAATGCTGCCCTTTCACGAATTCATTAATAATCAAGTTTCTAGGAATAACACGATAAGACTGGTTTGGAATTTCGCCAACTCATACACTTGTCACCGTGACCACCGTAATGTCGCGTAGCCTTACCACACACGTAGAACAGATAGAGGTACATAATACATACAGGTACACGCATTCTATGTTAATTTCAGAAATGAAAACGCAATTCTCAGTATTATAGTGGGTGTGTACATTTCTAAATACACAGCTAATTGACGAAGTTTTCTACAACGCGTGGCGATGACCGTGCACTGTGGTATGGCATGCGACATCATCGTACATATATATATATATATATCATTGAATGGTATTAAAAAAAAAAAACACCACACTCGGTGAGATTACCAATGCACGTATCCCCAAAACACAAAACATAAATATTCACACATTTATAACATTCAATATCAATTTAAAATAAATCAGTCAAACCTAAAAAATAAAGCTATGAAAGCTTTATTTAGTATACGTCACACTATACTAAATCATAAAATGATCTCTACAAAACTAAGCCTTAAACTTTTTGATCCACTCATCTCTCCAATTTTGTTATATGGGTCAGAGATTTGGGCCAATGAAATTACAAATGAAA